TGAGGATCTGGCTGAAGTTCTTTTAAAAACAAGTTGGGCTGAATCATTGCAATATGTGATGACTTCTCAGTGGTGCTAGGAAACATCAGCATTACAGCGTCACTGGTTCCACGGGTCCTTCTGGTTCCATCCCATAATTCAGTCCCTCTCCTCTGGCAATTTTTTGAAAAATCCATGCTCCAAACAACACTCGGACCCTATGGCATAGCTGTGTCAGGAGTCAATGCAAACAAGCCAGTTCTCACCCCCTTCCAACAGCAAAAAGTTTGGTTTTTTGTACCTTGACTTCTACTTCCTTCTGTTGCTGGGGCAGCACAGGAATCCCACCCTTGTCGCCACTTTGTTGTATCCTTGGGGGCAGCAGTTTTAGAAAGAAATCACTTGAGACAGAGCTATGAACCTTAAAAGCAGCCATTTATTGCCACACATTGAACTGATCAAACCAGCCAAAACTGGCTGGGCTATCCCCTAATAATCGAACTCAGTTGCCAGAGCAACAACAAGATTCTATTACCATGACAACCAAATGCACAACAAAATTTGGTTGTCTGAGCAATTGGCTGAACAAGAAGTAGGACTGAGTGTAGGCTCTAAAATTTTACATTGTTTTATTTTTGAATGCAGTTTTTTGGTACATAAGTCTACATTTGTAAGTTCAACTTTCATGATACTGAGATTGTACTCAGTACTTGTATTGGGTGAATTGCAAAAAACTTTTTTTTACAGTGCTAATACTTATAATCAAAAATAAATATAAAGTGAGCACTGTACACTTTGTATTCTGTGTTGTAATTGAAATAATTATATTTGAAAATGTAGAAAACGTCCACAAATATTTTAAATAAATGGTATTCTATTATTAACAGTGCGATTAATCATGATTTTTTTAATCACTTGACGGGCTTACAAAAGAGTTAGAAAAAATGTCAAAAGCAAAGTTCAGATGCAATTTTCAAAACATCAGTTTAAAACTCCTCTTCTGTTTTTTATTTTTAAAATCAGACATCCCAGAAGAATCCTATGCTGGGGTAAGATGTAAAAGTTATAAATGTCTGGAACAGTGCTTTCTTTTAGAGAAGTTAAGGGAAACAAATCAACCCTATAATGGGAAGCTCGCTCTGATCTTCTCCATGGAGTGGCTATTGACATTCCATAATAAATTTAAACTACATATAAAATTAACCACAATATTTTTAAATATAAATACCCACCAAGTTAGTCTGATATCTTCCAGCCCAGATAAGAATTAAAGTTAGTTTAAGTTTGGTTGAAAAAATGTGTTGTAAAGAAAGGCCCTGATTAGCAAGTAGAAAGAAGGCCTTGAAAATAAGTGATGAGGCCAGAAGAAATGAATTGGGGATGATGTCTGGTTCAAAGAATAACTAATGAAATAAGGGGAAGTTTCTAAAAAAAAAAAAAAAAAAAAGGCCTTTGACTAATAGGGGTGACTGCAGATGATTTTCAATAAGACAAATTTTTATCTTTCTTAAAAGGAACCAACCTGGATCTTCCCACCCCACAGACCAGTGTTATCTCCTATATGAAGCCAGGTGCAATAAAAAAGATGTTGGTCAGAAACAGGGAGGGGAAGAAATAAGGAGGAAAGGCATTGGGAAGAAAGGAGGTTGTAAATCTTATCTGGATTAAGACTAGAAATAAGGGTGAACTGTCTCAAATTGGTTTTTAGCTGAAGACAGTAATGGCAATTATATCTCTTTTTTTTTTTTTTAAAGAGTATAAAAACTAAACTCTTAAAGAGCTCATTGTTAATACCTGCTTGAGTATGTTGGAGCTGACCAATATGGGGCTAAGTACCACTGCGTTTAGCCGTTTGTAAGTATCTTGATCAAATGTTTATAAATATTTTTTGTTACTGTTTGGATGTAGTAAATTGCTTATTAGTTAAGGCATGTTTACAGCAATTGCATAAAATACCATTTGGATTTAATAAATAAATTTATGGTTAAATTGGTGTTTGATTTCTTGTATTAATAATTTCAAACATTAATAATTCCAACCATGTTAAATTTCCCATTAGAACACGTAAAACTCCTTTCCATAAAGCGTGCTTCTAATGGCACAGAGGCAGGAGATATTGAACCTTAAACCTAAACTGAATAGCCCTTCCCTGTGACATCTGGTAGTGTAGTTCAGTGATTTGACAGTCAAATCACTAAACTCAAAACACTAGTCTGTATACACTATTCATAAAGTCAATAACATGACCTTTAGTACTAAATCTTTCTCTTAGGCTAGAGTAGTTAAACACAGAAATCCTCGTTACGCATGGAAGTGAAGAGGAAGGAGAAGAACATCCTGATAGGAAAATAAGCTCATTAGCCAATTTCTAAACTATACTCTAGTCTCAACTTCATTTTCATGCTGTTAAGGCCCCTGATGAATGACAAAGTTCCTGAATGAGGACTACCACAAACAATAGAATAGGTGGTAATAACTTGATGTGACAATGTAAGAGGAATTTATTTATGCACAGGTTCTTGGCCTGGAGATCACGATCACCCTCCATTTTCATTATGGCTGGATGGGAAAATTGTTTCAAAATATCTTCTGTTCTAACGTGCAGTCGTCATAGTATGGAAAAAGTTGAAAACTACTGCTTTATGGTGAGATAGTTTTTTTTTTAAAGGCATGAAGGGCAGATATGGCCTTGATGAAGACTCAATGGGAGTTGGGCATCTGTCCTTTGTGTCTTTGCCCATGTCTACACTACCACTTACGTTGGCAAAATTTGTTGCTCGGGTGGGCAGGGGGTGTTTGGGAAAAAAACCCCCCCCCCTGAGCAACAGAAGTTTCGTCGGCATAAGTGGTAGTGTGCACAGTGCTATATCAGCAGGAGAGCTTCTCCTGCTGGCATAGCTATCGCCGCTCATTGCAGGGTGGTTTATTATGTTGACAGGAGAGCTCGTCAGCATAGAATGGCTACATGAGAGATCTTACAGCGGTGCAGCTGCATTGATACAGCTGTGCTGCTGTAAGATCTCTAGTGTAGACATAGCCTTTGAAAATCTCCCACTTAAAATATTAACATGGGCACCAAGTATTCATGAGAGACAGTCCCTATTATTTTTCAACACTGTCCCTCTATAGAGTCTTTAGACCAGTGCATAATACTAGAATTAAAAGGGAAGTCCCTATTTTTCTCTACTAATGTCCCAATATCTAGCTTTCCAATTTGGTAGTTACGAATTTAGCTTTCCATAATTCAAGTTTAATGATTAAGGTCAGCAAGTGGCTGTAATTAAAAACAGTGATTTTATGCAACTGGGCCTACACCATAAAAATTAATCATATTTGCCCAGGTCAGTCCAACATGTTTTCTCCACAACTGATATTAGAAATGGTTCTCGGTTGACATGGTCAAGGTGAATGCATGCGGGTATGTGCAAGAGAAATTTTTTCTCTACAAGAGGGAAAAGGCTTAATTTTCCATTGTTTCACACTTTGTGTAGTCATTTACCCCGTGGGAAAAGGTGTTTGAATGTGGTAGGTAGCATTTGTGAATGGAAAATTCTGTTAGGATGGTGTTGTACAGGTGTGAATGACTACACAAGATCCAGGACCCCATCTGCATGAGATATAGGGGTGTGAAAAAATGGTGAGTGCTGAGCACCCACTGGCAGCCCCCCTATTAGCTTTCCCCGACTCCCTCCCAATGCCTCCTACCTGCACGATCAGCTGTTTTGTGGCATGCAGGAGGCTCTAGGGGGGAGGAGCGAGGATGCAGCCGTGCTTGGGAGAGGGGGTGGAACTGCGAGTGAAGAGGCTGGGCGGGGGTGGGAAGAGGGGTGTGGTCTTGGGGGGGGGGGAGTGAGGGGCAGGACCTGGGGCAGAGCTGTGGGTCAAGTGCTCCTCAGCACTTTAGAAAGTCAGCACCCGTGAAAAGTAGGGTTGCCACCTCTGAGGTTCCAAAAAATAGGACATCCATGCTGCTCCTGAGCCCATAAAACTGGACAGCTGGCAGTATGTACTGAGTACCTTTACAGATTTTACAGGACATCTCTTCCCCCTCCTCCCCAAAGCCTTGGAAAAGGTAGCAACTCTAGTTAAGAAGAGGGTGCCACGTGGGTGTGACCGTTATGAAAAGGACTGGGGATGGCTGGGCTATAGGATGAGTCTCGGCATGCCATGCCGCATGACTCGCAGTGCAGCACACGTATTTGCAACCTTGCCAACTCTAGCCATGACCGTCACAATAACTGGTGTCTTTCTTAAAGCCCCAGCACCTGTAGGTGAACATCTCAGCTTTCATTTTTCTAAAAAAGGTATGCCCTCATGATTGCAGGAAATAAAAATTCAAGCAATCCCAGTATAAACCAAAGGCTCAGAAACCACAAAGCAAGTGTGTGTGTGACAGAGGGCTGGACTCTGAAGGGCACAGGTTTGTGTGTATATAGGCCACTGATGTATGTGAATAGGGTGACCAGATGTCCTGATTTTATAGGGACAGTCCCATTTTGGGAGCTTCTTATATAGGCTCCTATTACCCCCTGCTGTCCTGATTTTTCACACTTGCTGTCTGGTCCCCCTGTATGTGAAGGGTACAGATGTGTACATGTAGGGAGCTGGGCTGAGAAGCACAGTAAGGAGCTGGTCTGTGTCACAGGTGTGTGTGTAAAGGGCTGGGCTGGGAGGGGCACTGATGTATGTATCTGTGTGGAGGGGGCTGGCCTCTGCAAGGGGCAGAGGGCTGTGTGTGCTTGAACAGGCGTGTGTAGGGAGCTGGCCTAAGGCCCAGCAGTGTGTGTGTGTGACAGGGGGGAACAGGGGTGTGTAGGGGACGGGGAGGGACACAGGGTGGGTGTGAGGGGCAGAGGTGTGTTGGTTTCAGAGTAGGTGGTGTGTAACACAGGAGGCCGGGGCCGACGTGCGTCCTTCCCCGCCCCCCTTTATTATGTGCGTCACGGAGGGGGGTGGCGGCGCTCTCACCTCCGTGCTCCTCCGCAGGGAAGTGGCTGTCGCGCCCCGCCCCCGGAAGGCGGGTGGGGCGGTGGTGACGGAGCGAGGGGGCCGGCTCCGCTTGAGAGGCAGCCGCATCCGGAGGGGGAAGGCAGGGCCCGGCCGCGGCGGCAGGGAACCAGGGCGGTAGCCGCGAGGGGAGAGCGGGCGAGGAGGAGCCGGGTTGGGCCGCGCCGCGCCGCGCCGCCGCTCTGTCCCCGCGGGCGGCCGGGATGGATCACCACCAGCCCGCCAGCCGCTACCAAGTGGTGAGTGACCGGCCCGGCTCCTTCCGCCGCGGCCCAGGCGGCTCTGCGGGGCCGGCGCGGGGGGCGGGGGGAGCTCACAGCGGCCACTTCCCGGCTGCGGGGCCTGTGGCCGGAGCCGGGGAACTCGGCCCCTGCCCGAGCCTCTCTCTGCCCCGGGTGTGGAGGGACGTGGAGCTCCCGCCCCATGCTGGGGGGCGGGGGGAGCCGGCCGGGCGGGGGGGGAGCCCGCCCCGTGGGGGTGCCTGTCGCGGCGGAGCCGGCCTGGGTCAGTGTCGTTGATGTGCTGTCTGGCGGCCGGGGCGCTGCCGCGGGACGCGGCGAGGGGCGCCGGGGAGCCCGGCTTGTTGGGGGCGCTGTATGGGGCTCCGGGGGTGGGTAATCCACAGCTTCCGCGAGGGTGGGGCCGCTCGGAGACCTCAGCGGAGCGGCTCCGCAGCGCTTAACCTTGATCCCCTCTCGTGCCCCGGCGGCCGAGTGCTTGGCACGTAGGTCGTCCTCGCCCAACTGAGCTGGGCCACCCTCCCCCTGGCTCCTGAACGGCCTCGATTTTGGAGACTTGGGGGAGGGTGGCTCCAGTGCTTCTGAAAGTTAAACTGCAGGCCGATGTCTCCAACCGTTGCTCGACAAAAGTTTATCCAAAGGGGGAGTGAATGTCAGATTAGTGATTTATTTTTACATCTGCCTGGTGTTGAAAACATGGAAGGGAAATGAAGAGGGACGGGGGAATTTCAACAGAGGCCTTGCATTTTGATCAACCTCGTTTATGAAAAGGAGAGAGGGTTGCTGGTAGAGCATTCTTCATATGGGCCCCTTCCTTTTGAAATGCCCCATTGCTCCAGGGTCTGAAATAGGCTTAATCTTCTCAGCATACTGTAATCTGAACAGAATTGGCAGAGGGCGGAAGTTGTTGAAAGTGTAATTCGTGTGGTAGGAGTTTGAAGTTGTATTATTCATTTGATAGATCTGCGTATGAATAAGGTGCCCCGATTTTTGGATGAGTCTCCTTTTGGGTGGAGTTTCTATGAGTGAAATTGAACTATGTCTTGCCTTTATTTCCAATAGCTCACCGCATAAATTATCTGAAAATGACTACATAAAGGTTAAGTAAATGAATTTTGTAATTATAGCAATATTTGCTATTAACTTCATTAAACTTTTTTACATTAAAAGAGTGTGCACTGAACTTGGATTAGGTCACAGTGAGAATAGCATGCTTAATTTGTAGTATATACTAACGAGATTATGTTGATAGTGCTATTGTAGTGTCCTAGGAAGAACCATGACTGTTTCAGTCATATTTTATCCTGTTCATCACCACGCAGACCTGACACTATCAACTGGATTCTCATACAATTGTGTATATACTGTAATGGCTCCAAAGGGTGGAAGAACCAAAACTGTTTTAGATTCACTGTACAATATTAGCACCTTGCCATGAAAGCACATTATCTTATTTTTAAGATGGTAATAGGCTTTTCTAATACTTGGTTTTGTGAGCCTCCCACTGCTATTGGTAAGCTCATTAAATCCAACCAGTACCATAACTGCCTTTGTGTGTATTTTTTTTTCCTGGTATGTGAATAGTAAACATGGATTTCTTTTCTTTTCTCCCTCTCTAACTCTGAGCTGTTTTCTCCCCCACCTTTCCTCTTGCTGTGACTCCAGGATATCTTTTCTGATAAATACATTGGGATGATGAATTAATTCTGCTACTATTGTTGATTGAATAATTAATACTTATGTGGCTTTCGAGGACGTAGATCATCAACTCCCTGTAAAAAGTTTTTCAAAAAGATCATTTTTGTTCAGTCTAATGAACATTACGTTAAATTTTTAAGTCAACACACACTGTTCTGTGTAAGAACTTTGACTCCAACCATTTCCTTGCTTTATTTCTTTGACAGAAGAATTGATTGAAGATTCAAAATATTAAAAGAACAAAACTTTCTCCACCGTTTTTGGATAAAAATACAAATATATTTAAAAATGTTAAAAAATGCAGCTTTTTAATGGTTGTATTTACAAATGTATCGGGAGGGTGAGAGTTGCAAACCAAGTCCCATAAGTAGATCAGAGTGTTATGTAACTTTCTCTCCTATGTTTGGGAGTAGCAGTCGTGTTAGTCTGTATCCGCAAAAAGAACAGGGGTACTTGTGACATCTTAGAGACTACACATTTATTAGACCATAAGCTTTCGTGGACTACAGCCCACTTCGTTGGATGCATAGAATGGAAAATATAGTAAGAAGATATATGTGTGGGTGTGGGTGTGGGTGTAATTATATATAATACACACACACACACACAGATAAGTTGCCATACAAACTGTGAGAGGCTAATTAGTTAAGATGAGCTATTATCAGCAGGAGAAAGAAACTTTTGTAGTGATAATCAAGATGGCCCATTTAGACAGTTCACAAGAAGGTGTGAGGATACTTAACTTAGGGAAATAGATTCAGTATGTGTAATGACCCAGCCACTCCAAGTCTCTATTCAGATCCCCAACCTGAAGCAAATACTCTCCAGCAACCACAGAACAAAAACACTAACCCAGGAATCTGTCCTTGCAACAAAGCCCGATGCCAACTCTGTCCACATATTTATTCAAGTGACACCATCATAGGACCTAATCACATTAGCCACGCCATCAGGGGCTCGTTCACCCGCACATCTACCAATGTGATATATGCCGTCATGTGCCAGCAATGCCCCTCTGCCATGTACATTGGCCAAACTAGACAGACTCTACGCAAAAGAATAAATGGACACAAATCTGACATCAGGAATCATAACATTCTAAAACCGGTCGGAGAACACTTCAACCTCTCTGGCCACTCAGTAAAAGATTTAAGGGTGGCAATTTTGCAACAGAAAAGCTTCAAAAACAGACTCCAAGGAGAAACTGCTGAGCTTGAATTAATATGCAAACTAGATACCGTTAACTTGGGTTTGAATAGAGACTGTGAGTGGCTGGGTCATTACACACATTGAATCTATTTCTATAAGTTAAGTATCCTCACACCTTCTTGTCAACTGTCTAAATGGGCCATCTTGATAATCGCTACAAAAGTTTTTTTTCTCCTGCTGATAATAGCTCATCTTAACTAACTAGTTTCAGAGGAACAGCCCTGTTAGTCTGTATTCGCAAAAAGAAAAGGAGTACTTGTGGCACCTTAGAGACTAACCAATTTATTTGAGCATGAGCTTTCGTGAGCTACAGCTCACTTCTGAGCTGTAGCTCACGAAAGCTCATGCTCAAATAAATTGGTTAGTCTCTAAGGTGCCACAAGTACTCCTTTTCTTAACTAACTAGCCTCTCACAGTTTGTATGGAAACTTCCAATTTATCTGTGTGTGTGTTCTTACTATATGTTCCATTCTATGCATCCGATGAAGTGGGCTGTAGCCCACAAAAGCTTATGCTCTAATAAGTTTGTAAGTCTCCAAGGTGCCACAAAAAGAAAAGGAGTATTTGTGGCACCTTAGAGACTAACCAATTTATTTGAGCATAAGCTTTTGTGAGCTACAGCTCACTTCATCGGATGCAAACTGTGGAAAATACAGAAGATGTTTTTATACACACAGACCATGAAAAAATGGTTCTCTTCCCCCCCCCCACTCTCTTGCTGGTAATAGCTTATCTAAAGTGATCACTCTTCTTACAATGTGTATGATAATCAAGGTGGGCCATTTCCAGCACAAATCCAGGGTTTAATAAGAATGTCTGAGGAACAGTGGGGGGGAAAGGAATAAGCAAGGGGAAATAGGTTACTTTTTATAATGAATCAACCATTCCCAGTCTCTATTCAGACCTAAGTTAATTGTATCCAATTTGCAAATTAATTCCAATTCAGCAGTCTCTCGTTGGAGTCTGTTTTCGAAGTTTTTTTTTTTTTGAAGGGTAGTTACTTTAAGATCAGAAATCGAGTGACCAGAGAGATTGAAGTGTTCTCCAACTGGTTTATGAATGTTATAATTCTTGACATCTGATTTGTGTCCATTTATTCTTTTATGTAGAGACTGTCCAGTTTGCCCAATGTACATGGCAGAGAGGCATTTCTGGCACATGATGGCATATATCACATTGGTAGATGTGCAGGTGAACGAGCCTATCACCAGCAGGAGAGTGAATTTGTGTGGGGGGGTGGAGGGCGAGAAAACCTGGTTTTGTGCTGGAAATGGCCCAACTTGATGATCACTTTAGATAAGCTATTACCAGCAGGACAGTGGGGTGGGAGGAGGTATTGTTTCATATTCTCTGTGGGTATATAAAGTCTGCTGCAGTTTCCACGGTGTGCATCCGATGAAGTGAGCTGTAGCTCATGAAAGCTCATGCTCAAATAAATTGGTTAGTCTCTAAGGTGCCACAAGTACTCCTTTTCTTTTTGCGAATACAGACTAACACAGCTGTTACTCTGGAGCCTCTGATAGTGTGGCTGATGTTATTAGGCCCTGTGATGGTGTCCCCTGAATGATATGTGGGCACAGTTGGCAACGGGCTTTGTTGCAAGGATAGGTTCCTGGGTTAGTGGTTCTGTTGTGTGGTGTGTGGTTGCTGGTGAGTATTCGCTTCAGGTTAGGGGGCTGTCTGTAGGCAAGGACTGGCCTGTGTCCCAAGATTTGTGAGAGTGATGGGTCGTCCTTCAGGATAGGTTGTAGATCCTTGATAATGCGTTGGAGGGGTTTAAGTTGGGGGCTGAAGGTGACGGCTAGTGGCGTTCTGTTATTTTCTTTGTTAGGCCTGTCCTGTAGTAGGTGACTTCTGGGAAGTCTTCTGGCTCTATCAATCTGTTTCTTCGCTTCCGCAGGTGGGTATTGTAGTTGTAAGAATGCTTGATAGATCTTGTAGGTGTTTGTCTCTGTCTGAGGAGTTGGAGCAAATGTGGTTGTATCACAGAGCTTGGCTGTAGACAATGGATCGTGTGATGTGGTCAGGGTGAAAGCTGGAGGCACGTAGGTAGGCATAGCGGTCAGTAGGTTTCCGGTATAGGGTGTTGTTTA